GTGCTCTTTCTGATTCCCTGGATCCGGCCCTCTACCGATCTCTGAAAAGTCTAGCTTTGAGATGCTGCTTCTGGTAAGAAGGGCATCCCAAAACGTAGTCACACTTCTGCAGCATCGTTTAATTTCTAGGAGGACGGGGATGTTTGACTATGCACCTGCAGTGGCTTGACAGTTTATTGTAGAGATAAGAATGGTTAAACATACTGGAGGGAACTTCTCAAAACTGGAGCAGACAGAATCTGCAGCAGCTCCCCATGGCAACTAATCAATTTAATTTTCAAAGCTCTAACTAAAGAGAAGCGGTTTAGTTGTCACTGGCAATTGCTGCAGATTCTGTCTTCACAGCAGCACCAGAGAGGGTGCACACCGGCGAGCCTGTCTTGCTCCAGCGTCAGCTGTTGCTCACAGGAAGTCCACACAGCAAGCTTTGCTGAAAAATGTATTCTATCACACAGGTACACCATCTCTCCATGGATCCTCTTCATTCTCACATGTTTCACCCAATAATGGGCTCAAGTCATCAATGCAGAAGTATTACTACACCCACATGACCTAGTCGGTGTTTTGTAGCACAGCAAAACAGTGACTGGCTCATGCAGGACAATGTCGTCTGCGTGGGATTCTGGACCCATGTTGAACTGGACCTTTACCCCTTTGACTAAAAATCACATCAGCATACAGATCTGAAAGCTGATGTGAAATCATCTTACATTCATTAGCTAAACAAACAACATATTATTGTGTTTACAATTTAATTTTTGTTCCACTTCCTGGTCAACTTTAGTACAAGTGATTTAATGAACCCAAGCGTTGCATCCTGGGAAGGTTACATATGCTGGGAGATCTCTGTAATCTCATGATCTCAGGGAAAGATCATGAGATTTGTCCTCCTCTGAGGTGATGTGCATGGTCACATGTCCTAGTCACATGCACCAAACACTTTGTTGAGGAGTGCAACTACCTGGAATTACTTTGGTGAACACATGGGCTGAACAATGGGTGTACAGAAGTGTTGAGACCTGTATATGTCAAATACGAGTATGGAACACCATCCTATAACTGGCCCAATAGGATAGAAAAGATGTTGACTTACAGTTAGGATGTGGGAAAATGTGCCCAAAACGTCTCTCCAGGGCTTCGCTTCAGGATCTAGTGGTTGGGTCCTTCTAGCTAGCAGGTGAGAGGTGACTAGCTGGAAACGAGCTGGGCTGAATGGCTCGTTCCCTCCAGTCGTCAATGTTTGGCTGGTCTAAAACAAGTATGTAATGGTGAGGCAGCCCACGTAGTCGGCTGGCCAGGCCGCGGCGGCTGGGGTAGGAAGAGTGTGAGGGAGAGAGCGAGGAGCTGCGAACAGCACGTCCATGATGTGCATGGTCGCATGTCCTAGTCACATGTGCCAGAGTTTCCAGGAAGTAAAGGGAGCTATAGCAATCTGCCCTTAGTAAACATGGCCACTGTCAGAAGACTGGGGAAGAAAAGAGAAATAAGGTATGCAAAGAATACAAAGCCGGCAATGTAGAAGTATGTGTTTTGTAGATTGTCATTACTAAACATTTCTCAAGGTGTGTTTGTTGTGGTTTTGACGATATGGGTAAAGTTAGTCATGTTGGCGGCTAAGGCCTCGGGTACATGGGAGCTTTGCTGCGTTCTGGGATTCTTGCTGCAGGTATCCTAGGTGTCCCTGTTCAGATGCGGCCACTGTGCCCATGAAAGTTAATGACTGGGTGACGGCAGCTGCGTCTGTCAGACCACATGTGATTTATGCATGCGCAGGATAGATCTTCGACAACCAAAACTACGTGTTGGTTACAATGTAGGATTTCATGTGGACTGCAGCTGCTGTCACCCTGTCATTCATTAGAATGGGTACAATGGCTGCATCTGAATGAGGACACCTGGTATTCTTGCGCTAAGAATCCTGGAATGCAGTCTAGCACTGAATGTACTTTTTTTTTTTGACACCTAAATACTCTTGAGTAAATAAATCTGTGCATGAACTGACAATTACATGGTGTTTGTTTTCTTGGTGCCTCTGCAGGGTATTGGGTATTAAATACACAGCACAGTGTAATGCAGGGGTGGCCAACAGTGGCACGCCAGCTGTGCTGAAACTGCAAATCCAGTCATGCCTGTGGCTGTCAGACTTGCTGCACAACAGCTGGAGGGCCAGAGCTTGCCTACCCCTGCCCTAGGGGGTTCCCATTCATGTTACAATCTGACCATAGATTCTTAGAACAGTCAACTTTAGATTTACCAAAGTATGTAAGATGAGGATCTGATTTGTATCCAATCAGACAGGACATTGCACTACATACAGTACCTATTGGTAGATCTAAACGAGATTGTACTGTGTGCAGAGCCAAAGTTGCCTACACCTAGTGTAAAGCCAATGCACTGAAAGGTCATTCAGAAATCTACATAAAACTATAATCTAACCTGTATGTCTTCTACTTTTAGAACTGAATAAAAACCCAGTTGAAGGTTTTTCTGCTGGGCTGATTGATGACAATGATATCTATAAATGGGAAGTGCTGCTAATCGGGCCACAAGACACATTATTGTAAGTCTCTGCGTTTAATTTTCCACCACTGTTCGTATCTTTCCTGTAAGCAAGCCTTGCGTGTGTTTTTCATATATAAAAAAAAAAAAAAAAATGTAATCTGCATGATAAAACAGAGTTAAATCAACTTGAAATGTTCCTATAAATGTGTAACTTCATATTGAGATGATACCGAAGTGAAGACTGTTTAGACTTCCTGATATCTTAGCCATGTGATCTGTGATGTCAACCATCAGCCTAAAGTATACAGATCTCTATCTGATGTTTCAAATACATTTAGCAAGGGAAAGAGGGGGGGGGGGGGGACGGGGAAAAACTGGTCAAAAAA